AGCGCTTCCTTGTCCTCAAGGATAAAACTCGGGAATTGATCACGTATCTCATCTAGATCCTCCCATGTGGCTTCCTCCTGTGGCAACTCTTCCCATTCGACTAGTACCTCCCAGCGGTAACGTCCAGCTTTCCTGACCTTGCGGTACTCCATTGCACGTTTTGGGCGCACTATGACCCTTCCATCAGTCGCAGTCGCGGGTAACTCCTCGCACCACTTGTGCGCTTCTCCTAGGCTCCTCTTTAGCTGAGAGACATGTATAACTGGATGGATCTGTGAACTCTCGGGTAGCTCTAGGCGATAAGCTACTTGACCAATGCGCTTCAGAATCTGATAGGGCCCATAATATCGCACTCCTAGTTTAGTCGTTGTCCTCTGTGCTGTCGTGCGCTGTCTGAACGGTCGCAACTTCAATTAGACATATTCCCCTGGCGCGTAATTCTCCTCTCGCCGTTTCCCATCAGCGAAAGCGTTGGTTCGATTAATCGAACCTTCGAGATTTTTTTTCAACTCTCGCAACATTAGATCTCGCTTCTCAAGTTCTCGACCGACTTCATCGTTGACCGTCCCTCCCTACGAGTAAATGACCAGTGTTGGAGGTTTACGCCCATATACCAACTCGAATGGAGTCATCTTGGTCGACTCATGGTAAGTGGTATTGTACCAATACTCAGCCTAGGGCAGAAAATTTTCCCACTTCTTCGGAAATTGATGGACATAGCACCGTAGATATTGCTCAAGGGTTCGGTTGGTTACCTCAGTTTGCCCATCGGTTTGGGGATGATATGCTGAGCTCATGGACAACTTGGTCCCTTGCAGTTTGAAAACTCGGACCAAAAGCTGCTCATAAAGATCCGGTCTCGGTCGGAAACTATAGATCGTGGAGCTCCGTGCAACTTCATTACATATTCAACAAACAGCCTGGCGATAGATTTCGCCGTATAGGGATGTGTGATGGGTATGAAGTGAGCATACTTGGTAAGTCGATCCACCACGACCATTACTCCGTTGAATCCATTAGAACTCGACAGCCCTTCAATGAAATCCATAGTGATGTCTTCCCAAATCGCCACGGGTACCTGTAGTGGTTGCAGCAGCCCACTCAGTTTTCTTGCGTCAGCCTTGGTGCGCTGGCACTCGTCACATCGTGCCACATACTCTCAGACCGTGCCCTGCTGCCCAGGCTAAAAGAAGGTATTGACCATTCTCATCCATGTGCGGTAGATTCCCAAGTGCCCTCCGACTTTAGAGTCGTGGAAGTGCTACATGATCTTTTCTCGTAGTTGCCCACTGTCGGGAACATATACCCGACCTCGGTGTAGTAATACGCCGTTATGCAGCTCGTAATCAACTAGGGGTGCGTCTCCTGCTTTGATTTCCTGGCATAGCTCCTGACAAAAAGTATCCTCCTCTTGCGCCTTCCGAACTTCTTCCCAAATGGCCCACGTTGGTCCGGTGATAGCCGCGAGCTCGGCTACATCTGTCCGTCGGGATAATGCATCGGCTACGGCGTTCTGTCGACCTGGCCGATAGACTATCTCAAAGTCAAATCCCATAAGCTTTGAGACAAACTTCTGCTGTTCGGAGGTAACAATCCTTTGCTCGAGTAGATGCTTGAGTGGCTGCTGGTCGGTCACAATTCGAAATCACCGCCCCAATAGATAAGGCCTCCAGCACCTCACAGCTTCGACAACAGCTAGCATCTCCTTCACGTATACTGATAGTCCCAGTCGAGTCGTGCCTAGCGCCTTGCTAAGAAAGGCTAAGGGTCGGCCTTCTTGTACTAGCACGGCTCCGATTTCTACATCACTCGCATCCGTGTGGACTTCAAATAGAACATCGAACATTGGCATTGCGAGCACTGGCGTCTTGGTCATGGCGCCCTTTAGCTTCTCGAATGCTTCCTCGCTACCCTTGGTCCACTGGAACCCGCCCTTCTTGGTCATCTCGGTCAATGGTTTGACGATGGTCCCATAATCCTTCATAAACTTTCTGTAGTAGTCTGTGAGCCCTAGGAATCCTCGGAGTTGCGTGAGACTCATTGGCTTAGGCTAGTCGACTATAGCCTCTATCTTCCGAGCCAGACTCATCATACCCTTGAAACTCAAACACTTTCAGGTGCATAGCAGTTCAATTAAAAAGGTTAGGCGCAATAGCCATGGTCCCCGACTGGGATCAACCTTCACGCCATCATAGGATATAAGGTGGCCTAGGTACTCAACCATCTCCTGCCTGAACGAACACTTGGACGGCTTGATGTGAAACGAGTTAGCCTCCAAGACTTCGAACACCACTCTCAAATGCTCCAGATGTTCAGCCCATGACTTCGAATACATCAAGATATCATCAAAGAAAACTAGAATAAACTTACGTAGATACTCCTTGAAGATGGAATTCATAGCGAATTGGAAAGTAGATGGAGCATTGCACAGCCCGAATGGCATCACCATATATTCATAGTGCCCCTGATGCATACAAAAAGTTGTCTTTGGAATGTCGGCCTTGTGGAGTCGGATCTGATGATATCCAGCTCTTAGGTCGAGCTTTGAAAAGTAACGTGATCCTGCTAACTCATCGAGCATGTCGTCGACACTAGGAATAGGAAATCGATCCTTGATAGTCGCGGCATTCAGAGCCCGATAGTCGGTACAAAACCTCCACGTACCATCATTCTTCTTAGCTAACAACACTGGTGATGAAAATGGACTCGAGCTATGCTGAATTAACCCAGACTCTAACATCTCAGCTACTTGCCTTTCGATCTCAGTTTTCTGAAAGTGAGCGTACCTATAAGGGTGAACGTGTACAGAATGCTGCTCATTGACTAGAGGTATGCGGTGGTCGAACTCCCGGTGGGGTGGTAGTCCCTTGGGCTCACCCAGTACTCCTTCAAATTCCTCGAGAAGCTTGCGCACATCTCCTTGCTGCTGCTCGGTTTTGCCTTCGTGCGCTCTTGTGTTCTAGACTACCACTGCAAAAATTTGGCCGCCACCTCGCAAAACTCTTTCGATACTCTTCAATCCAACCTCCTTAGTAACCTCTTCCTCTCCAGCCTTAAGAGTGACTCGTTGACCTCTAGATCTGAACTCCATGATTCGGGTGCTGTAGTCCGTGGTCACCCATCCTATCCCTTCCAGCCATTATACTCCTAGAACCATGTCCGGTCCAACCAAGGGTAGGGCATAGAGATCGGCTTCCACAATAACGCCATGAAACTTGATTGGTACCTTACGGAAAGACTCGGTCCATTGCAGTCTCTCACCGTTGGTTACTCGAACTTCAAAGGGCTCGATCTTTGTGGTTGGCAAATTCAGCTTCTGAGACAAGTCGGCATTGATGAAGTTGTGTGATGACCCGTTGTCTACGAGTACAATCACTCGTCGGTCCTTGACCCAAGTTGGTAGCCTCATCGTCTTTGAACCTCTGATTCCAGCCATTGCATGCATCGAGATTTCAGCTTCCTCATCGAACGCTTCAATGTTGTCCACTGGCTCATGTTCTTCCTCGACCTCAGTCTCTTTATCATCGGAGTTGGCAACCTCTATAACAAAAGCTTGCTTGCATCGATGACCTGGCGTGAATTTTTTCTCGCACTTGAAACAAAGACCTTTCTCGCGTCGGCGTTTGATCTCCTCAGGTGTAAGTTGCCTGACTACTGGCCCTGATGGTCGAGCGTTATTGGCCGGTCGTGCGCCCGCGGTTGCTTGAGTCGGCCCTGCGCGGCGTGTATAGGTAAAGTGGGCATCCGCCCGTCCCCTTCACGTGGCCGCTAGGTGATCCTCGCGTCATCGAGAAACTTCCATAGCGGCGTGCATGGTCTCTGGTCGTTCTAGTCGTACCTTAGCCGCAAGATCATATTTCAAACCGCCTATGAATGCTCCTACCAATGCAGTTTCGGGCCAGCCCCGTACTCGACATGCTAAACGCTCAAATTCCTTCAGATAATCACGTAAATTATCTGTTTGCCTTATACGAGTCAGCGCCTCATCATAATTGTGGTAGTCGGATGTACCAAAGCGGGTGAGTAACTCTCGCTCAAAATCGCCCTAGGTGATGACTCGTAGTCGGTTGCGGTAAACGCTCGTGAGCCATTGCCACCATACGTTAGCCTCGCCACCTAGATAGTATGTTGCGTACCTTACTCGATCATGGCCATCAGTTTCGTTGAGCTCGAAGTATTGAACAACACGGTTGAGCCAAGCCTCGGGATCGGTACCGTTGAACGTGGACAGCACGAGCCTTGGCTTGTCGGCCCTTGGTCGATCTCGATAGTTGGACACCTGAGACCTTTGATCGAAGTCCTCCTCTCGCTCATAGTCGCCACGTCACTGTTCCCCGTCGACCCTTTCGTGCGCGCGCCTTTCCTCGCGCCTCGGCGATGGTGAGCGTTCGTCGTGCTCGGCGTGCCTGTGATGCTCGCGCCTCGGGGGTGCATCGTACTGCCGCTGCTGCTGGAATGCCCGCAGCACATCATCTAGGCGTTGCTCGAGTCACGCCACCGCCGTGTTGGTGTTGTTTTGGCCTTCATGGAGTGATCCAAGCCTTCCTTCCATAACTTCGCTCATGCTTCGAACTTGAACATCGAGGTTATCGATCTTGTCCTTCATCTCCTTGTTGGCCATGGCTTTCTTCTCTTGTCTTCTTTCCTTACTTTGTGGACTCGTCTTGAGGATGATGATATATTTTTTTTTTTTTTGATAGGGGAACGAAATAAAGAAGAAAAAGAAAGGGAATGGGGTAGAAGAAAAACACACAATCTAACACCTCTCAATGAAAGCACCAATAATGAAGATCGTGTGTTCTGATTGCCGATAAGCCACGAATCCACGCCTTGAATCGCCGATAGGTGTTTATCTAGCCACAACCGCGCCTATTGAAACGAATAAAATTGCAATAGAATTCTAGAAGAAATCTAAGACAAAGTGTTTGAACAGAAGTTCGGATTTTTATTGATAAACTGAATGATGAAAAATAACATGGGGAAGGGGCCTTTATATAGACACAAAATATATCTAGTCCTAATCTACCTAGGGAACTAATAAAGTAATAAAATATTAGAAATCCTACTTAAGCTAGAAATCATAAAGGTAGATGGAAACTAAATAACTTGATGTGCACTCTAAGTAACTCTCTCTTTCTTGCTCTCGGCCGCCTCATGCGCACCGCCCGCGTGCCTTGCCCTAGTCCTCGAGGACTGGGGCCGCCGACTCTACCGCGTGTGTGCCA